TCTCGCAGGGGCGGAGGTAGGATGTACTCCAGGCTGCTGAAAGCTGCCCATTCACCCATGGCAGCAGGCTTGGGAGAGCTCTGATGGCTCCAAGGCAAATGTTTGTCTGGGGAAAGAAAAGGGCACACGTGCCCGGTCACTTTTACTCGTATGTGACCACATGCCAGCCCACACAGACAGGTCTCTTGAGGCCACAGAGGGGGGTGGGGGGTGACCACTATTACTCTCAAATAATTTATGCTGGGCATAGCAACCTGTCAGGGCAGGATCAAGCTGGGAGTAGGACGGGCAAAGCCCTCTGGGGTCAGCCGCCTTTGGGACGAGGCCACAGAGCCCATGGTCAACAGAGCCAAAAGATGCCTCCTTATTCACCCCACTTACTGACCCCACGTCGTTCCACTACCACCACTACCGCGGTGGGGTCAGGCTGCTTGAGGGGCTGGAGCACTGGATGGCAGTCAGGAGTATTGTTTATAATCGAAACATTTCTGGAGTAAGCGACATATACTCATGATGCAAAATTGTAAAGGCGCAAAGATGATGCAGAGAAAAGTGAGTCCTCCACCTTTCAAGAGGAAGCAATGTTACTGGAGAGTACATCCATATATGTATTTATATTGCCGTGATAGTAGCACGTTATGCCCTCTATGGTAAACCTTGCTTATTTCTTTTTCACCCCATCTTCTCTCTCCTAAATTTAGGACCTGGAATGTAACGGGCAGGAGTGAATGTTTGACGAATGGATGGATTAGTGGATGGGGTGGTGGGTGAATGAATGATGTTCATCTAAGTTTAGGCTTTTTCCAACTCTGTATTTTGAAACGCATCCCTGACCTCGGGAGGGTCCCTCTTCCTTTGCCATGTCACTGAAGGTGGGTAAATTCAGGCCTTCCTGACCCTGGCACAGAGCCATAACGGGGGAACTAAGAACCAGGCAGCTTAACGGCTTAATTGTCATTTCCCCAGTAGATGGTTACCAGGGAAACTCAAAGAATGTTAGAATTAGGAGGGGCCTTCAAGCAATGTAGAGGCAGCCTGACAGAATCTGGTTGGGGGGAGAGGGGTCCCATGAGTTCTTTAAGACTTTAATTATTTTATGTTCATGTCAATGACAATCTAAAACAATTTAAAATGATGTTTTTGGATCATCTGGTTGTCTGCCTGATAATGTTGCGTGGCCACATGACCTTTGCCTGGATTGGCGTGTGTCTTCATGATCACACGGCACTGAGATAATCAATGACTCCACAGCCCCTTAAACATACCAAGATTTTCACATAGATCAAACTGAGCATGTTCTTAGGCTTTGTGTCTGCAGACCCCTAAGATCTCTGGATGGATTCACAGAAGTGAGAATTTTTTACAGCCATCTGTACATTAGTCAAGTATGAGAAACCCTGATGGGGACTAAAGGGCGCCAGGCCAGGGCTGGGAACCTGGATTCAGGTCGTGTCTCTGCCTCTCACTGGCTGGGTCACCTAGACTCTTCTGTCTCTTCTGTTTTAATTTCCCCATCAATAAAATAGGGACCTAAATGCCTTCCTCTCAGGATGTTAGGAAGGCAACATGGGATAGTGAATATGAAAGTTCTGTCTTTATAAGCATGTTCCACCCTCGCATTTTGTAAGGTAGGAAAACGAGGCCTGAAGAGGTGACATGACTTTACTACGTCAGTTATTGGCAGAGCTGGGCTGGAACTCAAGCTCCTAACCCCATCTGGCACTTCCTCCACTGTCCGGGTCACCTAGACCATTAGCAGGGGTGGTGAGATTCTAATTCCGGAAAATATAACAACATCTCAGGTGGGGCCTCTCACTATTTAGGCAAACATACTATCTTTATTTTTATTTGTTAAAGAGATTAAATTAAGGAAACCAAACAAATAAATGAACACATTGAGCTCCCCACAGCTATACCTTCTTCTCAGAGCAAAAACAAATTCTTCCTTAGGTCAGACAGGAGGCATATGGGGACAAGATACCCAGCCAAGGACTGTAGTGCCAGACACTTTGATTTACCCCTTTTCTGGGTTGAAGGGCCATTAAACCTGGTACATGGGCTTCATTTCAGCACCCGCTGCTTTGGGGGATGCTGTTTCGGGGTTGGGGTTACCAGGGTAGC